ATATGAAGCATCACTTAGCTCCTTGAATCAACTTATAGCTGTTTTGCGCCTGGGTTCTAAAATTGCCAGGTTCAGTGCTGTGAGGGCTCTTCATCAAATTTTTTATGCTGAAAATGTTAGATTCTGAGTTATCCAGTCAGGCTATACAACCATTGGTTGACATGTTCTCTGCTGCATCTGAGAGTGAGCAAGAGGCTGCACTTGTTGCCTTGATCAAGTTAACTTCCAGGAATGCTTCAAAAGCAGCTTTAATGACTGATGTGGAAGGAAACCCACTCGAGAGTCTTTACAACATCTTGTCTTCGGCTTCATCTTTGGAATTGAAAATAAATGCTGCACAACTTTGTTTTGTTCTCTTTGGTAATACTAAATTTAGAGCAGATCCTATTGCCTCTGAATGCATACAGCCCCTTATTTCTCTTATGCAGTCTGATGCTAGTACTGCAGTGGAGTCTGGAGTCTATGCTTTTGAAAGATTATTGGATGATGAGCAGCAGGTGGAGCTTGCAGCTGCATATGACATTGTGGATCTCCTTGTTGGCTTTGTTTCCGGAAGCAACCATCAACTTATTGAGGCCAGCATATGTGCACTCATAAAGTTGGGTAAAGACCGCACACCGCTCAAATCAGTCATGGTCAAAGCTGGTGTTATTGATAATTGTCTTGAGGTACTACCTCATGCATCCAGTTCATTGTGCTCCTCAATTGCTGAGTTGTTCCGGATTCTGACAAATAGTAACGCTATTGCTAGAAGTTCAGATGCTGCAAAAATCATTGAGCCTCTTTTCATGGTTTTACTTCGTCCAGATTTTGGTTTGTGGGGACAACACAGTGCTTTGCAAGCACTTGTAAATATCTTGGAGAAGCCGCAAAGCCTTGCAACTCTGAAATTGACTCCCAGTCAAGTCATTGAGCCTCTGATTTCATTTCTTGAATCACCTTCTCAAGCTATTCAGCAGCTCGGAACAGAATTATTGACTCATCTTCTTGCTCAGGAACATTTTCAGCAAGACATCACAACAAAAAATGCAGTTGTGCCGCTGGTGCAGCTTGCTGGAATTAGAATATTGAATCTGCAGCAAACTGCAGTTAAAGCTTTGGAAAAGATCTCTGCTAGTTGGCCAAAGGCAATTGTTGATGCTGGAGGTATTTTTGAGCTTTCAAAGGTATTCATTCTTCAAGATGAGCCTCAGCCTCCTCGTGCACTTTGGGAATCAGCTGCTTTTGTTCTCTCAAATGTTCTGCGTTTCAATGCTGAGTACTATTTTTAAAGCTCCTTTAATAGTTCTGGTCAGAATGTTGCACTCCACGGTGGAGAGCACCATTACTGTGGCTCTCAATGCCTTAATTGTCCATGAAAGGAGTGATCCTTCAAGTGTTGAACAGATGACTGAAGCTGGAGCTATAGATGCATTATTGGATCTACTACGATCTCACCAGTGTGAAGAAGCTTCTGGCAGACTGCTTGAAGCTTTATTTAACAATGTAAGGGTAAAGAGAAGAAGGTTTCCAAGTACGCAATTGCACCCTTAGCACAGTATCTGTTAGACCCACAGACAAGATCAGAAGCTGGCAGGCTCCTTGCAACTTTGGCTCTCGGGAACCTCTCCCAGTATGAAGGACATGCTAGAGCCAGTGATTCTGTTTCTGCATGTCGTGCACTTGTAAGCTTGCTTGAAGATCAGCTAACAGAAGATATGAAAATGGTTGCAATTTGTGCATTGCAGAATTTTGTCATACGGAGTAGAACCAATAGGCGCGCTGTTGCTGAAGCAGGTGGCATATTAGTAATCCAGGAACTTTTACTTTCTCCTAATGTAGAAGTAGCTTCTCAGGTAGCATTGCTGATTAAATTCTTATTTTCTAACCACACGCTTCAAGAACGTGTCAAACGAGCTCATCAGATCTTTGACAGGTGATATAACATTGCAAAAGCTTTTTCCTTTTATAATTTCTTCGTTTCAGTTCGAAGCGTCAAGATTGTTATTTAATCTTTTTGTTTTAATTGAAATTAATGTTAGTAAGAGAAAGAACAGGGAGGAACGCCCTATATGCATGAAACTCGGCACTATTCATTTCTATATGGAGTTCATCTACAATATATATGGCTTGTGTTACACTTACAAAAGACTTCTAGCCAACACACAATATCAAAATGAGTCTTTCCTCTCTATTGGTTCTCAGCATTGCAATTAATTATGAAATGTGTAATAATTGTCGTGCAGCTGCCCTTGAGAGAGAGTTGTGGTCTACTGCGACTATAAACGAAGAAGTCTTGAGAACATTAAATGTGATATTCACCAACTTTCCCAAGCTCCAAATCTCTGAAGCAGCTACCCTATGTATTCCCCATCTAGTAGGAGCACTGAAGTCAGGGAGTGAGGGTGCCCAGGAATCTGTGTTAGATACCATGTGCTTGTTAAAACATTCTTGGTCAACCATGGCAATCGAAATTGCAAGATCTCAGTCCATGATTGCAGCTGAAGCAATTCCTATCTTGCAAATGCTGATGAAAACTTGTCCTCCCAGTTTCCACGAGAGAGCAGACAGCCTATTGCACTGCTTACCAGGGTGTTTGACTGTTACCATCAAGCGTGGTAACAACCTAAAGCAAGCTATGGGAGCCACAAATGCATTTTGCCGGTTGACAATAGGAAGTGGTCCTCCCCGACAAACCAAGGTAACAGTTCTATTTAAAAGTTTGTTCGAAAGTAAACTGTTTACGTTGTACCTATATTTGGGCATATGGTCATATGAATGTTGCTTGTTCGATATACTTGGAGGTTCCTTTTCCTTTTCTGATTTAGTCACCGGGTTCCATTTTGCATAATTGCCATATGCCAGGCCAGGGTGTTATCATTACTTATTTTATTTGATGGCTCCAGAATTTGCCACTTTATATGAGCCATTTATGGGATGTATGAATGCACCACTTGTTAGGTTAAAAAAATTGAAGTATGCAGGTATAGATTTATCAAGAAAGTCGGTGTTTCTCAGTCATTTATTCCTTAAATTATTTTCAATACCATTCATTTAGATGAAAATTTAATTAGCATGTACAGAATTTCGTTCTTTCTGTAAAACTTTCCACTCTGACACATCTTATGTTGAAAATTGCAAATTTAATCATTTTACCTTTGCCTTGATGAATGTATATTTTTTTTTCTTATCATTAATGACCAGACTTTAACAAGAATGGTTTTGTGCTGCAATCAGGTCGTGAACCACAGTACTGGTCCCGAGTGGAAAGAAGGCTTCACTTGGGCTTTTGATGTGCCTCCAAAGGGACAAAAACTGCATATCATTTGCAAAAGTAAAAATACTTTTGGGAAGGTAAATGAGATTCCTATGCTGAATACACTATGGCTAAATCGCTGCAACCACAATGCAGTGATACTTGGGTGTGCTTAGCCCAACAATTTTCCTTTCGTAGTGCATAAAAAAGTTCTAATAGTTACATTTTCATATCTTTGGCAAATTCTCGTATTGCTTTCTGATTTCTGATGGGAGATGATGGTTTTTTCCAGACAACCCTAGGAAGAGTGACTATTCAGATCGACAAAGTCGTAACAGAAGGAATATACAGTGGTTTATTCAGCCTGAATCATGATAGCAAAAAAGATGGATCTTCCAGAACACTCGAGATTGAGATAATCTGGTCCAACAGAACAGAAAACGATGAAAGCATATAGAGGATTACAAGTTCGTTTGTTTACGAGCGACCGCAATGGAATCACAAGGAAATTTACAGGAGAAATATAATAGGGGTTTGCGGTTGCTTGGTTTGAAGTATGATATATATCTATCAAAGGTCTAGTTTTTGTAGTAAATGGTTTGAGAAGATGTAAAGTATAAAATGTTTATAAATTGATGCGATGAAAAAGGAGAAATGGAAGAGCTTCCCCAAGTGTAGAGTGTAAGAGTTTCATTTTGTACAGGTCAGTCGGTCTTTAAGGGACCAGCGAGTTATGTCTTGTAAAGGATTATGGCATTGCAGAAAAATGTTATGAAAATGGGTTCTTCTTAGCACAAGGTGCTGCTTCGTTAAATGGCCACAGTATTCTTTGAATGATCGTTTAAGCTTTGTACCATTTCGAATTTATAGTTATTTTTAAAATATTTCACTTCCAAATACGTCTCAATTACATGTAAAAATAAATTTTAAATTTAGTATTTAAGTTTTTTTTCACTCAATTTTCAATTTCTTAAAATAAATAATATCATTTTTGTATTTCTTTTAATTTAAAAGTTCTGACTTTTTTTTTGAATTTACGGTTGTTTCTCGTAATAATATTATTTTTAAGATTTAAATTATTTTTTGTATTTAATATTTCTTTTATCAAACAAAAAAACAATTGAATTCTATGATTTTAACTGTCCATTATAACATCTTTAGGCAATAGATTTCAAACCTTTGCAAGTGATTTCTTTATATAATCAAGATATTAAAATTTTATTTTTTAACATTTTCCCAAAAAAATCATATTCGAAATTATATTTTAATAATTGAATTGAGTTTTCATTTATCCATTAGAAGTCACCAATTTCTTGTTGAATAGGTGGGCTCATTTTGTAATGCAAATATATCATACTTAAATTATTTATTTTTCTTTTATATAATTGGATTCAATATATATTTGAAAATGAATGCAATATAAACAAAACTTCAAAAAAAAATAACTTGAAAAAGGTTGGAAAAAAATAAAGCTTGAAAAATTTCATTAACCTACCGTCAGTACATGGATAAAGGAAACCATCAACTAGCAACCCTAACATTCACTAGCGTCCTCTGTGATATGATGGGAGTACATTGAAATAGGAATCACTTTTGCCCGACTACCCTCACTTCATTGCTTTACCCTTTGATTCTTTGTACCGACTTCCCACACTGAAAATGATGCTACTCGGTTTTCTTACAACTTACAAGCAAACATCTGAAATGCCTAATGAAAAATTAACTATGTAGAACCATAATGCTGATGACGGATGTAAGCTAATGAGATGCAAAATTGACTATAAATAGAGGCAATGCTACCTTAACAACTATCATTAGGGCCTGAAAACCACATTCTTTAGGTATTCACGACTCAGACTGGATACGTAAAACGCTTGGTACTTGCCAGGCCAAAATCACACAAGATCATGCTCAATATATCCACAGTGGAAAAAGAAATGAGGTCAGGCTTGACAAACAGCTACTTTGCTGCAGCAACCAGAGCAGATCTAGCTTGAGTGAAAGTAGCAATAAGTGATCCCAGTTGTAATTTATCATTGCACCCAAAACTCAAACTATATCTGCAAAGGGTAAAACATACAGGTTGATACCATTAGCTACTATCTAATAAATATTCCATGATTCACACTCATTATGAACATTTCTTTCATGATTACAAAAATGAAGCCAACAGTTTTTTAGAGGAATTGCATATCATCTACTAGTCAGTTATTCTTCAATCTACTATCTACTACGTAGTATATTTATGCTGATGAGCAAACGGTATTTCCATATTCCAGCCCCAATTAAAATGTTCAACAATTTCACCAGGGGGGGAACCCAAAACCCCTTACAACAGCCAACAAATAGCCTGAGTAAACGAAAAAGTACATCTCAAATGTGGTGACTAGCAACAATAAATAATATCACATAATGGCTCTAAAACCTCATTAGGGTAAGAATACTCTAAACAAAATCCTAAACCACGAAATTTGAGATACAATAAAATAATCTTAACCTATATAATAAGTAAATGATAAATACTGCTTATTTACCAAATTGTCTTGGTACTTTTACTCTATTCTTTATGGTTCCTCTTTTATAATCATAACCAGTTTTATGATACATTCATTATTGAACATCTCAATAATTATCTTGGATTTATTTTAACATTTAAAGAATCAACCATTTATGAATTATTCATGTGTTGTGTTGTATGTGAGTTGAGAGAGAGCAGCAGCAGCAGATATAAGTGCTTACTCTATGTCTGCCAAGTTGTTAACTAACTGAACTCGAAAATCTGAGGGCATTTTAATCTTAAAAACAAACCTGTTAAAACGAGTAGTGAATGAATATCAACCAGAAATTTTTAAAGGGTAGACTTTTATAAGTTAAAAGAGACATGGCACTTACATAGTCACTTCCCTCACAATATCAATCAAGGCCAATCCTCTTCTTGTCTTCGTTTCAGAAACTCCTACAGAGAGTTAATAACAAAATATAGTGTTAAAAAGTTGATCTAAAGAGTAAAGACAACCATTTTATTAATTGCATAACAAACAGTGAGATTAAGACGTGTACGTGTGAGACTCTCAGCAAACGATTCATTCAGAAGCCAGTAAGATATTTGCTCAATGTCTTTAGGCAATGGATTTCCAGTACAGAGATACACGGCTTCATCTGTAATCTTCTGAGAAGCCATGTGTTGACTGCATGTAGCAAAGAAATTATTAATAATGCTACTCTTGCCCATTCATGAATAGCACTAACCACTTTAGAAGTAATAAGAATCTTACTGTCCAAAATCCCCCTCAATAGTGAAAATAAAGTATATTTATTCACGCACTTAAGCATTTTGTTCAGAGAGAAGTGTATGATATTGATTCCCAAGCTTAAAATCCAGCTTTAAATCCCCTTCCTCAAACAGCAACCACATAACCTAACACACCAAGCATAAAATAGACAAGTGTAGCGCCTCCAAAGAACAATGAGATCATATGGTAATGTAACACAACTTCTGCTACAAAGAAAGAACAGATCCATGCCAACCTGTCATTTGTCCTTCTTAAACAAATGACTATTATTGTACACCAATTTATGGAAAAGCAATATGAGTAAGTGGTTTAAATACCTGCAAAATGTTTAAAGCCTTTCTCATGTCACCATTGCTAAGCCGTACTAGTGCTGCCAAGCCACTATCAGTTACATCAAGTCTGGTCCAATGAAGCAAAACTTGTAATAGTTTTCAGGTGAAAGATTCAAAGATAAGATCTAAATAACAAAAGGTGAGCCCTTATGAGATATGCAAAGGCACATATTTTTCACTTTTTAACAACTTTAATACACGAGCAAATGGCTTGATAAAGCTACACCATAAAACTTTAAACTATGCTGGTTAGATATTTATGCATGCTTGAGCCAAGCCCGAAAAGGCAAACTCTAGCTTAACTAGCAGAAAAAATGAAAGATAACAGTCGTTTTTGTATCTCATGTGCATACATTGTTCATCAGCATTGACAAAAAAACGAACTACAGGTAAAAACTATAAGCAAGAACTATCTTGCATTCTAGTTAACTTTTTATCACCAACATTGAAACTCATTCCCACCACTTTTTTGCCAAATAAAAGAGCACTTAAATTAGGAACACTTCACTCCAACCCAATGTTTAGCGCAACACAAATGAATGGCAAAAGGAAGCAGAATACTTACCCTTCAGCATCGATAACGTGCTTAAGTCGTTCAGTGACATGAATAGGATCAAGAGGTGCAAATCTGAACCGAGTACATCTGGACTGTAGTGCGGGAATGATCTTGTTGACATGATTACAGATCAGTGCAAACCTAGTATTCTTTGTGTACTTCTCAATAACTGCAGACAATCACTAAAAACGTAGTTACAAAAAAGAAAAGGGTAATAATAACATGCCAATGAGATGAATTTGGTCAAAGAAAATTATACCTCTACGCAAGGCAAATTGGGCATCCTTTGTCATAGCATCTGCCTCATCAAGTAAAATCAACTTTACCGATGACTTCACCCTGCAAAAACCTCAATATTAATCACCAATGGATTACCTTTGCAAAAGCATTTATTGAAGCCTAATGATAAAAAAAATGGAAATTATGAAAAAGAAAGTAAAAGATGTCTGCACAATACCAGCAGCAATACAAGAGAGCAACTGGATTTAAAAAACTAAAAACAACTTCCGCAGTTCCAAATTCATAAATAATGGGTGGTGGTTGTCAAGGGAATGCATAGTATAAGCAATCATGGATCAATAGCACACATTAAAAGGTAATTACCCAAATGAAAAGCTTTGGGTGCTAGCAAAACCTTGAATTTGTTGCCTAACGACATCAATTCCTCTATCATCCGAAGCATTCAACTCGAGAATAATATTATGATACTGTGCTCCATAAAGCTTCCGTGCAACAACCAGAATGGTGGATGTTTTGCCTGTTCCGGGAGGACCATACAATAGAAGATGCGGCAATCTGTTCTCGCTAGTAAGCCTATCAACTATTTTACACCAACAAAAGCAGAGCAAATAATTTGTAAAAAAAAAAACACGAGTTCTTCATCATCAAAATTTCCTTCAACTGAGTAACTAAACAGAGTGTTTATTTTAAGCTTTTTTTTTACTAACAATTAAGAAAGATGTATACAAAAAATTTGAAATCTCGAACTAATTGTGTTCCACCCTTTCCTGGAACGAATTCCCTTTTCACCCCTATAATCATTGTAAAACTTTCGAACAAGAAGAAAAAGAAACCAAATCAAGCGGAAATACATTTTGAAACCCTGAGAAAGAGAAAAAGGGAATTACTGGTGTCAACAATATCGCGGTGAGCAGCTACGTCGGCGAGGGACTGAGGACGGTACTTCTCGACCCAGGGAGTGGCTTTGGCATCTGTGGCTGTGGCGACGCTTTTGCCCTTGTTTAGCTTCTGAGAGCCGTTTTGTTCCTGGTGCTTGTCATCTTCGTCGATATCCATAAGCGAAATTACTTCCGCCATCGTCTTCAAGTTTCTTCTGATCTTTTTTCCCCTTTGTTGTATACGGCTAGGATCTCCGCCGTTCGTTACTGCTTTTGAGAAAACGGGGTTTTACTTTACTCGCTGCGAGGCGCCAACCCTGTTTTTGAAGCGCGCCTTTTCCGGATGTACGCTTCGGACCGTTTTTTCTTCTTTCTAATTTTTTATTTTAATACATTAATAATGCATATTTGTATTTGATTTTCAATATAAATAAATTCACACATTTCTTAAAATAACATTATTTGAATTTACATGATTTATACAGTTTGAGTGGTTAAGTGGTTGACCTTATTTTTTTTAAGGTGTTAGAGTTTGATTATGATGTCTTTATGAATGGACGAGTATTAATTGTTAAATAATTAAAAGTATTTCGAATAACTATTTTTCTCATACTAATAAAAACTTATTTGAAAATCACTTAAAAATAATATTATCTTTAAATAATCTTTTACAATTCAAGTATTAAATTAGAAATTAACTATAGGATTTATCCTATTTTTTTCTCTTTTTCTTTAGCCGATGTTAGTCTATTTTCCTCTTCATCTTTTTTATTAGCGACAACATTAGTCTTGTATTGATCGTTGACCGTCGTTGTTTATTATTTTTCTTTTGCTTTTATTATAGTGTATCTTTATTTTTATTTTCCTTTAATAATTATGTATTTATGACACGTTTTCTTCTATCTTTATGATATGTCTTTTTTTACTTTTATGGTACATTTTTCTCTGTCTTTATGACACATATTCGGTCTTTTGGCTGTTATTCCTTTTTTAATGGTTGATTTTGAAATTTACACGATTGATCAAAATAACGCTTTATTTGTTATCATGATGATCTTCACTGCTTTTGACATTCGAATTGGATTTGGATACGCGATTTGCATTGGTGGATATTATTTTGACATCACGCAATTTTGATTTGTGATTTATCATTGATTTTTTAGTAGATTAATCTCCTTTTATGGTTCGTTTATCGATACATACATACTTGTTCATATCTATATTTTATCTGAGTTTATTTGGTTAGGTTTTTAAAATATTTTCCTTGTATGGTCCTTGTGGTCTTAAGTGATTATTTTTCTGTGTTTAGAAAAATATCTTTATTATATGTTTAGTTTACAATAATGATTATAAACTTTCTTTATACTAAATATTCTATATTTTTAATAAAATTAGCAAATTTTTTTCTAAAAAATAATATTCTCCTTATTTATATTTCTCTTATCAAGAGGATTATGAACCTAATTAAGTTAGTTATATACACCATTTAAAAATAGGTAAATCATACTACATTTTTTAATGGCTCAAATCGGAGAAAATTGATATTTGAAATATAGGATTTGACAAATTTGATACGGATAAATAATTGAAGCATAAAATATAATTTTTACAACAATATTAGATGAGTGGCTCAAATTTTAAAATAAATCGCAAATGTACTAAAATTTATCCAAATATGAAATACCACAAATACACTAATCATTAAATTGAATATCAACCTTAAAAATAATAGAGGAAAGAGATTAGGCTCGTGAAAGCCAATAAATATTTAGTTAGTCAATTAATTAACTGTGCATTTCTTTTTATATCTGTTTCGTGTTAGATTTAAATTATTTGAACTAAAAATCTCCTCCATTTTTAAAGTCAAATGGAGGGAGTATTTTAATTTTAGATTACAGGTCTTTTATTATAGTTATGGCGTTTTCATAAAATAAAATAAAAAAAAATAAAATTTTAGATAATTTTTATTTCGAATTAAAATACAATTGAATTTTTTTTCCCGATTGTAAGTATATGTATTTGCATCAATTTCCAATATTTTAATTTCAGATCTGATTTGCGTGAAAGAAAATTTATTTCTTAAGAAAAGAAGATCAAGCAAACATGCAGCATTCTCCAGTTCACAACTACGGCTACAATGAACGACATGAATTTCAATTCGAGAGACATTGTTTCAACAATCGAAGTATGGATGCTTTCTTCACTTCGGTCCCTTTGAGAATTGCGAGTGAGAGGAGTCCCGCTCCGAGACCTAATTCATTCAAGAACAACATTAACGAAAACTCGAAAAATGCCGACAGAAGTGCATTTGATGAGAATCAATCAAGAAGTTCGTCCAGCAAGTGGAATGATGAGCCAATCACGTACTCGAACTCAAATCTGATGGTGAAACCTCCGGCGATCGAGAGAAATTTGGAGTGCACGCTCGAAGTTGTGTTACGGATGTACGAAGAAAGTGAAGATCACAAGAGATGTCCTTACACTATCCGGTTCGTATTAATCCTAAGCATTCATTCTTTTTCACATTTTATGTGATTTCATTTAAGAACTACAATATATTGACAGGAAAATAATACAAGAAGACGAGATATTATCAATAAAAGTGCATCCAGGATGGAAGAAAGGGACGAAGGTAACATTTGAAGGGATGGGAAACGAAAGCTTAGGGACTTACGCTGCTGATGTAACCTTCGTAATCGCCGAGAAACACCATAGCTTGTTCCGAAGAGACGGTGATGATTTGGAGCTCAACGTTGAGATCCCATTGGTGAAAGCTCTCTCCGGTTGCTCCGTCCCAATACCTTTATTGGGCGGAGAGACCATGGATCTGGAAATCGATGAAATCATTTCGCCTGGTTATCAAAGGGTAATCGAAGGTCAGGGAATGGCCAACAAGAAACAAGAGGGAAGCCGAGGGAACTTGAAACTATCTTTCGTCGTTATCTTTCCCAAAGAGCTTACATCTGAACAACAGGCTGCTGCGGTCAGTATTTTGGGAGATTCTGGTTGATCAGCGTGTCTGTGTGTGTATTTGTTTAGAAATCTTGAATTTATTTCCTTGTGGAGATTTTGTGTTTTCTACCACAGAAATTTAACTCTTCATCATTTATTTATTTGAACTGGATAAAAATTTCATGTATTGTTTGAGACAATCTGAACTGGATTATATTTTATTTGAGTGTTAAATTATACTAACTTATATCATTAAATTTATATTTAAAAAATTTAAATCTCATGTGTTTGTGCGCGACCTTATAAGAATGAGAGTGATATTAGATCATCATTTTTAACTTAAAATTTATAAAATTTATAGACATAAAAACGGATATATAATAATATAAAAATTTTAGAGGCAAATCACCCACTAGTCCTTCCTCAATCAATCCTATTCATTAGTTTAATAATAATTAAACTAAACTTAGAAGCACCTATAAGAATATATAATTATTCATTAGTTTATATAATTAAACTAAACTTAGAAGCACCTATAAGATATATATTTTTATTTTTCACATACGAAATGACCTTAAAAAAGACAATCGGACTTGTTACTATCCCAGCAAAGAACGGATTATGCTTGGTTTCTACCGCTGAGAATAGCCTGGAACAATCTGAGCTTTGCCCGGTGTATGGTGGGTATCTCAGATATACATCACCGCCAAATCCTCCATAGAACAGCCTTCTTGTGGCTAAAAGCATCGAAGGAAATTTCCCATGGTACGAACCCATTCCGCTCTCCCCAACTCCTCCGAATGGTAAGTTGTGCTCAGCAAGATGAAATAGTAGTCGATTTGATCCATGTGAAGATCGATATTTATAGGCGTATGTTTCAATTGATAGGAACATATAGTGTGTGTTAACTGATCTCAAGAATTAACTAAACGTAAACAAAGAAAACATTTTATTCATGAATCCCACGTCCTAATCTTGTAAACTTGCATGTACCCTAGTGTCACTGACAACTAAACCCCCGGCAGAGGCCTCTGCAATAAACTTCTCTTTTAGCTTCTAGTTATTAGTAAACAGATATGCTGCTAGTGGGTTTGCTCCACAAGAATTTATCACATCGAAACTCTCTTCCACTTTATCTACCTGTTATAAACCAACAATAAAAACATGGTGAATGTCCCATATTCAAATCTCTATAAATGAAGTATAAGAGCACTTTATCCACCTGTTATAAATTTCCTTGTTATCATAAACAATTGGTGTTAGTTTCTGTCGGGACATTTTGCATGCAGAAAATTCACAAACCGGGTTTTATATTCTAATAGTAGTTCCTACCATGATAACGGGGAGCAACGGGCCAAATATCTTTTCCTTCACGATTAGAGAATTTTTTGGGACATCAAGCAAGATAGTGGGAGCAATCTTCCTGCCATTGGAAGAGATAAACAATTATCAAATATTAAGGGAATAAAATGCCGGGTGCACTTTAAATGAGAAGCAAAGCCCAGGTTAGAACTGACAAGTTTGTTTCGTCTCTCTCACCACCATGGACAATCTTACTAGAAACCTTGTCCTCCATGCGCTTTGACAAGCGAAAAGTGGTTAGAGTTCACTGTGCGAGATAAGTCTTTACAACAAATTTGCTTATTTATGACATCTAAAATGTTATTACTAAAGCTTATATTTAGTCACTATTTGTATTTTGTGACATAAAATTTGACGTCACAACGCATGTCATCATACGTGTGTCACTAAATGTCAAATATAATGATATATATATTTTCGTCACGTATTGTTAGAAATGTAATGACATTAATGAATATCGTCATATTATAATTTGTATTCAATAACAATTAATTATGTCACTAAATAATATAATTTTTTTTACTAACTATTCATATCGTCACCAATATTAGATAATTTTATTGTATATGACAAAAACAAATCGTCATAATTTTATTTAATTTTTTTAAAAAATATTATAAAATAAAAATTCATGAATTACGTTTAGATTTATTTATATTAAATGACAATCCTTTTTGTGAATTATAATGTAGGAAAATCTTTTTGTAAATTATAATGTAGGGTAAATCTTTTTAAATTATAATAGAAGAACATTTATTTTATAAATTACAATCAAGGACAAATATTTTATAATTTTCAATCAAAAGAGAAATCTTTTTCCAAATTAAAACGAAAGTAAGAACTTCACATAATTACAATAATGCATATTTTTTACAAAATTTAATGAAGATCCAAATTATATAATCATTATATTTTGATCTCTTCCCTCTAAAATACCCCAAAACCAAACCCACAGTCGATTGGTCGCCACTGCTGTCGGTAGCCACTGACTTCGGTCACAATTCCAAACTCTTGTAACTACAAAAATAATAACTAAAAGAAAAAAAGTTATAAACCAATGAAAATACACAACATAAAAAAAATATAGAAAAAAATGAATAGAGATATCAAATTCTTGTAACACTAGTTATAACAATCATAGTAATATAAGCTTTGACTAGAAAATTAATAAATTTTGAACTGGTATATTAGCTATATTAAATAGAGATTAGGGAATATTTATAACATATAAAAATTAAATAATTAGGTAAAGACAAATTCATTAAGGGAAAGGCTTGGGTGGATAACAATTCTAAGGACAGTGGGCGTTGCTTACCAATTTCAGGACAGTGGCGGTCGTTAGCTGTGAGAAAACGCTGTAAATTAAGAGGGGAATTAGGTATTGGCATTTGGTTCGATGAGCTTCTCGGAATTCTCAAATGATTCATTAAATTATGCAGTGTAGTATCATGAAAAAAAAAGATTAATGAGCGAGTTCATAGTAGAATAAGAATCAACAATATCCTAGCTTGAGGGAGCAAGTAACTGAGCCATGGCATTTGCCGACCACTTAACTTATCGCCCAGTTCCATTGCAAAACATAATTGCAAACTAAACAACGCTAACCCAACTTGTAAATATAACTAAAAATACGAAAGCAATTAACTTGTAAACATAATTCACTAAAATGAGGCATAAAATTTTCATATTTTTAGAGAACCCAACGTCTGAAACATATCGGAAATTTCTTGAAATGAACAACTAATATGATAATGTAATTCAAATATTCTAGAGGAATCAATAAAAAAGAAGGAAATTAAGGAAGAACTTGAGAGGATTAAAGCAAGTGAGGGAACTAGATGACCATACAGGGCAGAAGGGTCAAGTGAAGGAAAATGACCACCAAACACAGTAATTCATCTAACAAATATAATCATCAAGCATCCATGCTCTGGGGATTTTGGAGGAAACCAGATCCGCCCCGTTTCGGTTTTTCCGAGATATCATATCCCGAGCAAGGACTCGATTAAGTCACGACAGTTGAAGAATGGGTTGTAGCAGAAATGGAGAAAGAAGAAAGAATGGAATAGATTCAAGATAAGGCGGTGAATGGGTTGAGGCGTGATAGTGGCGAACGACGGAAGGGGGAAATCTAAGCTGCAGTGATGAATTTTTAGGGATTGATTTAGGTAGGCGGCGTCTGATATTCAAGATAAGGTTTGAGAAGGGAAGAATAGTGTGAAATAAATAAAAGATAAAAAAATAAATAAGTATAAATATAATTTTCACAGGGAAAGATAGGTGACACAGTTAAGGGGAATCAAGTAGATGGTTTTAAAGGTAAATCATGGAGAAAAACCTCTAATTTCTTGGAGTTTCAAACATGGCACTAAACATTTCATTTTCCAGTTTACAACTCTTGAATTCTAAATTTCCTCTAATTTCTGTCATATTTTTAGATTACAACAATAAGTATTTTACTAAAATTTGTGTTGTATAAAAAATGTTTTATTTTAATAAAAAATATGTTAACATATAAATTGATTTATTGTTAAGTATTATAGTATTTATATTAAATAATTAATCTTTTAGAAAATAATAGGAAAACTTGAGTCATTTTAAAATTAAGATGGCATAATGTCTTATAAAAAACTATAGGGCCAACTCAGTCAAAAAAATGTATAATTTAGGGAACAAACATGCCTTTAAGCCTAAAAAAATAAAATGAAGCAACTATACCCTTATATTTTCCTTTAAAATAAAATGACTTAAATATATAAAAGGTGCCCAATGTATGTTCGTTTTTCTAGTTTAGTGCCTAACGTTTTTTCGTTTCAGTTTGGTGTCAAACGTTTCATTTGGTTACTCAAAATGGGTCACGCCGTGACGGACTATTACTTTTCTCCGTTAAGTGACACATGTCACAATCTGATAATTTAAAAAAAATATTTAAAATTAAAAAAATAAAATTATATATTAAAAAAAAAAGAAAACACAAAATTTTTGAAATAACCCCAAAACTTTGAAAACATTCATTTCAACCCATTAACCTTTAACCATATCACCGAACCACCCTTCTCGGACCAGTGGTGGTGTACACCACCACTTCCACCAAACTCAGCAGCAACCGACGACCTCAACCCGACCCTCTTCAAATCACTCGAAATCGGTCACCGTTGAGCTTAATCGCAAGGAAATCATTCGATCGAAATAACCCCAAAACTTTGAAAACATTCATTTCAACCCATTAACCTTTAACCATATCACCGAACCACCCTTCTCGGACCAGTGGTGTACACCACCACTTCCACCAAACTCAGCAGCAACCGACGACCTCAACCCGACCCTCTTCAAATCACTCGAAATCGTCACCGTTGAGCTTAATCGCAAGGAAATCATTCGATCGCCCACCTCCACCTCGGCTACCGCTGGTCGTGTCATCACCGCTTAGCCCAGTGGAAGCGTCGTCCCGGACTGGTCATAGTCATCCACTCCCTCCCTCGCCGCAGTTCGTGGAGTGGTGTTTTAAAAGTTCGACGAAAAGCCCCTATCACCATTCGATTTTTACGATTTTTTGACCGAAATCGCCACCTTTCCGCCTCACCGCAACCGAAGCTGAGCTCGCCGGTCCTGTCCAACCAAACCCACCGTTTGGTAAGCCACCGTTGCCGAGCGGAACGAGCTTGGAAGAGGAGTGACTGAACGATTTAGGGGTTGAAATGAAGGTTTACAAAGTTTTGGGGTTATTT